CCATTGCAAATCCGGTTTATTGGCAAAATTAACAGACTTTCAGCTGTTTGCAATGAACAAATCATTCAAAAGTAATTGAAATAGCTCAACACAACAAATGTTTCAAGTGGAAACATCTGCAAAACAGGTGTTGTCTCAAGCACACCTGATGCAACTAATCAAGGGCTTCATTAGTTGCACCAGGTGTGCTTGAGCTAGAACACATGAAATATCTGAACTGGTTTGTAACACTGATATGGCTAAGTCAAAAGAATGGTCCAAACAGTTCACAAACAAGGAAGAGGATACAAAAAGATAGCGAAGGCACTAAATGTTTCTAGAGACATCGTTGGAAGCAAAGTTTGCAAGTTAAAAGTTAAAGGAACAGTGGACGGGGCAGAAAAAGTAAGCTATCAACGGCTGCAACCAGATTTCTGAAAAGGCAGATACAGAAAAACCCTCGAGTGACTGCAAAAGACCTGCTGCAAGACTTGGTGGCAAGAGGCACAGAGGTTTCAGCTGCACAGAAAGGCGCGTACTTAACACATGCCAGAACTCCAAGACGTACACCATTACTGACCCAAAACCACAAAAAAAGTCAGCTCCAATTTGCTCAAAATCATATAAAGAAGCCACAGACATTTTGGGATCCTGTTCTATGGAGCGATAAAACAAAACTGGAACTTTTCAGCCCTATGGATCTTCTTCCTTGTCTGGAGGAAGAAGAATGAAAAAGAACACTCTGCCCCACTAAACACTGGACGTCGGATAGACGCAGATCATGTCTATATTGGGTCTGTCGGTCCATGACCAATTCTGGACATCTATTCGACGTCCAAACTAGGTCCACTATTTGGACGTCCAACCATGACCCAACTTGGACGTCATGTTGACGTTCAACATTTGACCGTTGAACTGGGTCATTTTTTGGACCTCATTTGGACGTCTATTACAGGTGCAGGAAATTTACATGATTAATATGCAATATTTTTTTTATTTACAAATATCAACATTGTTGTTATCAACATGATTAATACATTGGAATACAGATTATTTATAATTATTTAAGATAATTTTCCCAAAATTTTCCCATTTGATTGTCTCAGCAGAAGGTGGTAATGGACACATATAAAGGTGTAATTCTGTAGCTCAAAAAGTAGAGCGTTGGCGCTTGTGTAACGGCCACCTAGTGCAACACCTAGATCATGGGTTCGATTCCCAGGGAAAGCAGGAATTGAAATGTGTAATGCAATGTAAGTCACTGTAGATAAAAGCAAATGCATAAATGTAAATACATGGTACAAAAAACGTCCTCTACCCTTTTGAAACATGGGACTACAGTTATAGAAGATACTAAATTTGATGTTGAAAAGACGTCCACAAACGACCACATTTGGTCCCACCGACGTCAATATTAGACGTGCAAAAGACGTTGAATAAAGACGTTGCCTGGCGTTACAAAACAACCCCTTCAGTGGACCGAAATTGGACGTCCAAAAATTACATAGAAAAGATGTCACTCTGACGTCACATTGCGCAGTGGGGCCTACAGTTAAGCATGCTGGTGGCTCAGTGATGCTCTGGGGCTGCTTTGCATCCTTTACCACTGGAAACCTGCAGCGTGTGGAGGGCAAGATGGATTGGTTGAAGTATCAGGAAATCCTAGGAGAAAACGTCATGCTGTCAGTGAGGAAGCTGAAGCTTGGACCTTTCAACAGGACAATGATCCCAAGCATTCCTCAAATTCCACCAAGGCTTGGTTGCAGAAGAAGTCCTGGAAGATTCTACAGTGGCCATCACAGTCAACTGACTTGAACCCCATAGAAAATCTCTGGTGGGATTTGAAGGCGGCGGTTGCAGCACTCAAACCGAAAAATATTACTAAACTGGAGGTCATTGCTCATGAGGAATGGGCTAAGATTCCTCAGAAACGCTGCAAGAACCTGATGTCTGGTTACACATCTTGTTTGCAGCAGGTCATAACAGCAAAAGGGTGTTCTACTAAAGATGCTTGCCATGAAGGGGTTTAATAATTTTGACACTGCAAAAGTCATTAAAAGAAGTCATTTTGTTTGATTTGTTCATTGCAAACAGCAATGTGGGTTGAATAATTTTGATTACAACTGTATAATGTTAGTCTTTCTGCAGCATTACATGAGATATTCTCAACAAAAATCTAAGCTTTTAAATATTCAACAACTGATCTTGCTGTCTGTTCATTTTCAACATGACCAATGGGGTTTCATAAAATAATGAAATGAAGGGAATAATGTTGTCAGCAGGTTCATAAAATAATGAACTGATATAGCCTAAAAAACAGGATCTTATTTGCAACAAGGGCCATTTGAAAGTGAAAACTCCTGATAAGGAGATTGGTTGATAAGGTTGATAAGAAAATTGCTCTGAAATGGAGTATTGCTTTCTCTTGCATTTTCATTGTCTGATAGATGAATTAAACTAAATTATAATGCGTTGGGGGAAAATAACATAAACCTGAATAAAATTATCTTTATAAAGTCCTTAGGCCATTGAGCTCATACCTCCTGATAAAAATATGCAGTGTGTCTTTGGACCGTTCTCTCATGTAAAAAAAAACACAAGAGATTTTACTCAAAATCTTACAGTTTTAGCTTGTTGTCACTAGTTGCACCTGAGTTAGCAGATAAGTTTACTTTTTGTTGCATTTAACTTCATTAAGGCATAGGCTATGTGTCATTTCAGACATCTGGGACATTTAAGTGTGATAACCACAAGAGCTGCTACATGCCACCAGTTAAGGGCTAAGACAATGAAAAACTTTGTGACTATGAAAAACCTTCTTGTGGGACAGATATCATAAGATGTCATAACTGCATTGTATGAAAATCATGGTTGCATAGTGCAATAATATGTTACAAAGAGAACGTATGATGTAAAATAATTTCTGTTGAGCATGTGTATGATATAAATACAGGGCCCCCACAGTAACGTTTGGGACACCTAAGTCACACCTAAAAATGTGTGAATGGCATTGCATTAGTCAACCAAGTGATTTATTTTAAAGAAAGACAGCACAAACAGACTTTTAAAACAAAGCAATTAACAAAAAAAAAAAAAAAAGATTAACAGATATGCTGTCAAAATTAAGTAAAATTCCTGTCATGCACATCATGCTCAGCTCTAAATGTATTTAATTAGCTAGAAATTGTGATGGCGCACAGTAAAAAAATACATGATCAATAAGTTAGAACAACATATGTTTTTACATTGCTTTAACTCATCAAAATAAGTCAATTGAATGCAAATTAATTTGAAATGACTTAAACATCCAGGTTGATTTAAAATTTTAAACGGGTCATATAATGCCATTTTTGTACAAGCTAATATGATTCTTTAGGGTCTAAATTAAAAGTTTGTAATATACTTTCATTAAAAATTCTCATTAGTATTGTAAGAAAACACTTATTTTACCTGGTCAAAAACAGCTCTGTTTTCAGCACGCCGTTTCAGTGGATATGACTTTAAATGATAATGAGCTTTGCTCACCCCGCCCCTCTGTTCTGTGCGTACACCGTTTGTAACACAATAACACAATAACCATAACGCGTTGTTCAGTATAAACGTGGGATTATGAATTATATTGAGAACGTCGTACATAGAAAACATGCCGTAATGTACCCTGAGTGTAAACCTTAGACGCATTCATTGTGAAGCGTGCAGCTAGCGATTTGCAAAGATTAATATAAAGATTAATACAACGTTACACTCACTTCAGTTCTTCTGGACGTTCAGCAGGAACACAAATAGTTGGTACCGATCCTTTATTCAGGAGCAGCTTCTTAGCAAAACCAGCTTTATACTGACCCTCGTTTATAAAGCAGTCTGGTGTGTGAAATGATTCGCGCAAACATGAAAGCATTGACGTTGCTCATGGGGAATATTCCCTTCGAAAACAAAACTCAGCCACTGCGTCTTAAGCGGTTCGGATTTAGGAACATTAAAATGACTGCTGTGTTCGTTATTACACCCAAGAACAGAACAACACAATTGCTTAGACGCCATTCTGCTCATAGACAGTGCTCCAGCATATCAACAATGACCGCGCGGACTATGATTGACAGCTCGCTCACGAGCGAGGGCGGGTCTGTGTTGAAACGCTGCTGTCAATCAACAATCGTGGGAGGGCCTTCCGACCGTGTGACGTCACACGGTCAAACGGGTTGATTTGAGGCAGGGGAAAACATAGAAGGAGATTAAAAAAAAACAATGGATGGATTTTTATCATTTTATGATGGTTGTGTACAGGCACTGCCACACACATTTCAGTACAATCAACTTGTAAAAGTGCATGTACCATTATATGACCCCTTTAAGGCAGCAACATCTTTATCAAACAATCTTTAAAAACCCTTATCCAATATTGATAAGGAACAACTGGCAAAATCATGAAAAAGTCATGGAAATGTATTGTGGGAATCCTAACGTGATGAACTCCACCTGTGGTCACTCTGAAGTTCACATGAGTGAACTTGAGAGGAAATGACTTCATGCAGCCTCACCACAGATCCCATTGACAACAGTTAAAAAGTAATTGCAAAAATGGCTGAGAAAAGTGAACATAGTTTTGAGTAAAACTCTAGCATTGTTTGTTTGCAGATGCCATTGGTTTGTTATGTTATCTAAGACATCTGTGTCTTAAGTGTTCAAATACTATTTGGGGCCACTGAAGGTTACGTAATGTGAAACATTTAGATATTTTGAATAAAGTTAGTGCAAACAAGAGAGTATGCTACACAAGAGGGGAATCAGCAACACCACACAGTGGCAGATCAGTCAAAATGCTTTTTGTTGTCTAAATACCACACATGGGAAAAGAACAACACATATTCAATTTTCGGGTCAGTTAATGAGGAGATAGTCCAGGACTCCAGATAAATGTGTGATAAAAGTGGAATAATAGGAAGTAAAGATACAATAATTTCTTACGATGCAAAACCCATACTCGGATCACTTTCTGGTCAATATTTTAAAATCACTCTCACTCTGAGTCTTACCAGGTCAATGGCGTTTTTAGCAAGCTCATCCTCACTGGATGCTGCCGAATCCACCACCAGCTTCTCGAAGCACGTCGAGCCCAAGGACGAGCTCTTCTGGTGGGACATCGCCAGCTGAGCCACCAGCAGCTTCGGGCTCCCGTGCGCGGATACGGAAATCTCCGGTTTACTGACTGATGCTCCATCAGCTACGGCCAGCGGTGAGATCCCGAGCCCTTTACTGGCGCTGGAGTCCGGCTCCTCGCACAGGGTACTGTCGCATACTAAAGACGGTGGAGTTGAGGACAAATTGGGCTGCGAGGACGAGAAGACCCGGTCCAGGACCTGTTTTTTCTTTCTTTTAAACATCCATAACCCGCTTTCTTTTTTACTATCCCCGCTGCGTCGTTCGGACCCCAGTTTGGGGCTCAAAAACGGTTTGGTCTTCTCTTGGAAATTCCTCCACATCCTTCTCTGGTAGGACGCTGATTGCGGGTCTTTGTCGCTCTCATCCGTGTGTTTCTCCTCCATAGTCCCCGTCCAGCAGCAGCAGCAGCAGCAGCAGGCTTTCAGCGCGCGGAGCGCCAGTGACACTGAAGCGCGCGGGCGAGCGCGCAGCAGCGCGTGCTCTTGATCGTAAATGACACTCAGGCACTTACAACACATTCACTTTATCTGGTCAATATGCTACTAGTGACATTATTTAGGGGGTCTTTTACAGCACAAACATTGAAGTCTAAACTAAAACCGATAAAATAAAATAAAATAAAAAATAAAAAGCCCAATAGGAGAAAACAAGTTAAAATCTGAACAAGGTATGGTTGCCCAACAAGGGTTACCTGTTAAATAAACGTGAGTGTGCAATGCATCTGATTCACTCTTTAATGACTTAATGATCTGACAGTAACCTATGAAAAAGCCATACACGAATACATAATTGCAGAATGGAAAGACACGCCTCCCTCTGGTGAATGTTTGTAATTATAAGGATTTGGTGAGTGTATATTTTACTGCACATCATGTCATTATATTACACGATGTTAACAAGCCATTTGAGCTATTTAAATTGTGTTTGTTACTGTAAAAACGTGCTGATAATAATACAGGTGCACACTAGAAGAAAGCATGATGACTTTAGGGCAGAGTTAATCAGTTAACAGGTTTCAACTGTGGTAGGCCTATTTTTAGATTATTGTTAAAATTACTAACATAGCTATGCAGTGTAAACAGCCATGCTATTGATTTAAAAGTGAAGGCAAAGCCAAGATAATACCACCCACAATAAAACCCACTCATGTGTCATTTTAATGATTGTAGAATTTGAACATGAATATTTAATTATATATTGTAGTTGCTGTAAACCAAAGGATATTATGTGTGTGTGTGTGTGTGTTATTATTATTATTTTACACACAGCTAACACTATACATTATAAAAAATTCCCCTAATGAAACCATCACCACTTAGCTTTGAAGGGTGCTGAGTACATTTACTATTCTATAATAGATGTGTTTCAAATCACAGAAGGGAAATCATTACTGGTCAGAAAAGCTCATGAGAATTAATGAGTAGACTGAGATGTCTGGCCAATATCTCAATACTTAATTATGCTTCTTGTCAAATTATAGTAAACTGTTTTAAGCCCATCATCCTACGCAGTACCATATTTAGACAAGTACTAAGTTAATAAAATACTGTATTCGCAAATTGTCTGCATTATCTTGCCAAGTACAAAATGATACACCCCTTTCAGAACATGCCATTTGGTAGCTAAGAGATCAGACTAAACAAACCAATAAACATACTGCAGACTACAGGGAAACATTCACAGCAGGTAAGTTAAGATCTCAACTTTACTTTGCAATATATATTATTTTATATGTGTAACTCACACACCCATATATATACATACATACATACATACATACACACACATTTTAACTGCAATAAAGTATCACCTCTTTCTTCCTGTGGTTATTGTGGCTATGATGAATGCCTATTAAAACTGTAAGTGCTCAATCAAAGGGATTCATCTCTGTTAAATGAATGAAGGTAAGGTATTCATCATTCATAGGTGAATCAGTACTCAGAGGCAGATAATCAATAGGTGATGTAGTTTCCTGGAGCCCTTGAGTTATGCTCACTATAATGCAATGTAGGAGAAAACCACGAGGAGAACACCTCTGAGTTCTTCTATTGCTTCAAAGGCATTTGATTCAGCTTCATTTTGACAATATGGCTCTGTCCTGTCGTTTCTTTTACAAAGTAAAGCATTCTCAGATTCTATTTACTAATTACCTGTGATAGACTGGCCGTCTGTACAGGGTGTCCCGAGACGCTGCAGAGGATAACGTGGTTTGGAGAATGGATGGATGGATATTCACTAATTACAATATTTTACAATATTAAGTTACATCAAATAAGTTCACATTCTATTGTAATGGGCTGTAACAGCCTGTTTCCCTTTGATGAAGAGTTAGTCTTTTCAAAAATAAGTTATATAGACCAACTGCCTCTTGCCAGATGACTTTACTTTAATAATCTGTGGGTTTGACCGTTAATGTTCAAAGGCAATTTAAAAAAGATGAGGCTCTGACAAAAGAGTTCTAGTTATTTAATTGTGTTTTGAGACAGACATATGGAGAGCCACATGACCGATCAGGAACGCACTTTAAGAACTCTACTAGAAGAAGCCGTGAAGATCAGGGACGATGTGGTGACTGGTATACGTGCAGCGCAGGGTTCAGTCCTGATGGAGTCGTCTGCTAGAAAACTACTGGAGAACCACATTCAGATCATAACTCATATTGTCAAACAGCTCAGCACAGACATCCAGGTACGAAAATAAGTTTTACAGTGACATTATATTATTTTATATATACATAAAATGGGAATTAATCATGTGAGTGAATAAATGTCCATCAGTCCCCTGATGTTTTCTTCTATCCTTCTCAGAAAGGTCCAGAATAATCACTCTGATGGATTGTTAGATCAATAACATCTGATCAATGCATCTCAAAGTTTTACATTTATTTTTAATGTGAAAGCAAAAATTTTACAGTACTTGATGAGCGAGGTACAGTTTCAGAGAACATGCCAGCAGAGCCATTACCTGATGGGATGTATTATGCAGAATATGTGCATAAAAAATGAATGAATCAAATTAATCAAAGCCCATCAGTCACTACAGTCAGAATGAGAGGTTTTTTTTTTGTCCCTGAAGAGTGATGATGTAACCAGGCTTGATTAGCTATGGAAAGACATTAGGAATCTCTGCTAGGTCTAATGTTGTAGGCTAAACCACTTATGGCTTTCCCTCTAATATTGCAAAAAGTGAAAACACTCGAGGTGTATTTTCCAATTCAGAAACTATTGGGAAAAAAAAACATTCATCATAATTACTCCTGCGTTATTATCCCGAAATGCTCCGAGACATGAAGGTTGAGGATCCAAATGCAGTTTTATTGAAAGGGTAATCCACAATCGTATAGTCGAAAACAGGCAAAGGTCATAACACCGGGTAATCAGTCCAAACAATAACAAACACAACAAGGCAGGGAACACGGGCAAAAGAGTAATCCACGGAACAGACAAGAAATCCAAAAACCAAGAGACATGAAACCAGGGGGAATGCTCGGAATTGCAGTGTAAGGGTCAAAATCACCATAAAGTGCCTTTGAGACTTCAAAATTTCCTCAAAAAAATCAGAGATTTTCCATTTAACTTTATATGTGTTGTATTAAGGAGACCTTAGGCTGTTAGAAATGCATATTGGTCAAGCTCCAGCAGTTTTTATGAATTAGCTGCAAGCTGACAATATACTAGCAAACCATAAAATATGTCCACCCTGTCATGGACAAATTCAAAGTAGAATATATACATTTTCATTGCATAGTGATTATAAAATGTAGATCTGCAGAAAGATAATGTGTCCCTTTCCCAACACAACATTTTAGTTAATGGTAAAAGTCTTTTTATAATAATGAAGTTACATGCCTAAATATGTATTGCCCAATATAATATGCGATAATTGCACATTCTTTTCTAAATAAAATCTAAAAACAAAGATATTTAGTCAAACTTTAAAACAATACTAACTGGGCCTCATTTGTTTATTAAGAAATCACACGCAAGGTTTTGTTAACTTGTTAAAATAATTTGTTTATTTTCAAAAAAGTTGAACATGACAGGGTGGACAACAAGTTGACAGGGTGGAACTTGGCATGACAGGGTGGACAAATGCTTTAATGTTCTAACCTGGAGGGGCCTGGCTCAGGCTGATTTTCAGGAGCTTCAGGAATATTAGGAGAGTTTGGTGGTGTCTCTTGCTGTAGCAAAGCACTGGCTCTGGCTCTGGCCCTGGCTTGCCTTTTTGTTTTATATATTTGCCCTTTTCTCTCTCTCACTTAGCTCATTAATACCTTTCTTCTTTCCAGTCTCTCTGTCTTTTCCCCCCTCTTTCTCAAGGTACTTTCTTCTACTCTCTAGGTCAGCATCACGACATTCCCTATATCGCCTTGCTATTAGGCTCATTCCTGGTAAAAAAAAAATATAGTATTTCAAAAGAATTCAAAACGTTCTCTTACAAATTCCCCTTTAATTGGTCCAGCTAAACTAGGCTTGCCTAGTCTTATTTATTTACATTGTTAGGGCTGTATTTTTTTTCAAACAGTCAATGAAATCCATGTCAATCTTTTATTACATAGGAACAAAGGTTTGTAAACTATCATCAAATTATCGTCATCATCAAAACACCTGCTGATAGTGATATTGGGAAAAAAGTCCACGTCCACTCATGTATAGAATCTACTGTTCTAATAATATGTGTTATAACTGTTCTAATATGTGGGGGGGAAAAATCAAAATGTGGCGAAAACTGCAAATGTCCTCCTTATCATGAACCATGTCCACCCTGTCATGGAAGGCTTGGTGACAGGGTGGACAGTGACAGGGTGGACATTTTTTTGGCTAAAGGTAGCATTTAATGAGCACATGGTGTACAGCAGTTAGCAAAGTGATTCAATGTTGAAAGCTGACTGTGCACTGTTTAAAATGTATATTTTGAATATCTGAAAAGTTTTTATATTAATTAATATTTCACAATGACAGGGTGGACATGTTAAGCTTGACAACACGCAACTACAAACACAATATGATGAAAATTAGGAAATATAAGTGTAGATACTTACTGTGTGTGCTGCAGAGGTTTTAACCTCCACTGAAGAAAGACCAAATGGGGGAGGGGATGTCACTGAGTACATTAGTTGGTTTCTTAAAGGGGCGTTTACCCCATAATGACAGGGTGGACAGCAATTTCAGGGACACGTGCAAAATGCTTAATATTACTATGAAAATAAAATATAAATAATCAAAATGGCTTGTTTTATTAAATAATTTGCAGAGGACAATAAGAACATTCAAAAAAGATTTTAATTTTAAGTAATTTAACCACTTTTTACACTCACTGAAGTTAGCTGATCAGCGTGTGGGACATACCAAAAGTGATATTGACTCGTAACACTAAACAAGACTTCGCAAATAATGAATGAGAAAACCAGGCTCGGTATATGGGGTGAGCTAAACAAGATAATGAGACACAGGTGAATGTGATGATGGATGAAATGTCCGGGCAGTGAGTTATAGGAGATGTAGTTTGTGAGGGAATGACAATAGTCTGATGTGGAGGGCCCTCTGGTGGTTCTCAAGGGCACTCCAGCTGGTGACCGTTACAGTTATAATGGAAAATGACTGAAGTCTGTCAAACTGTGATAGCGGTGAGTGACTGCTGATATGAGCAATCACACTGTAACTGTTGTATGACCGCAAGGATAGAACAATCTTCTGTCCTCCCAGGTGCTGGGAACGCAGATTATTGAGAGAGACAACCTTGCTGCAGGGACGACTTTTGCAGTGAAGAGCTTGGATCACAAGAACAGGATGGGTATCGGAGATCTCAGAGGCAGAGTGGCAAGGTCACAATTTACACCAAGATTTTATTCATATTTATAGAGCTCCAACATTTTTAGATCACTAGTGGAAATGCTTTTTTTCTTTTTCTTTTTTTTAATGAATATGAATTTCATAATTTCTTGGTATATGTCTCCTTTTTATTTTCCCTGAAGTTCATTATAAATATGAGCATTAACTCAAAGTCTACAAGAGGCTACCATTTCACTATTGGTGCAATTCATGAATGATTGTGACCTTTTATAACAACAAGGTGGAAAATGAGATGTTAATTGTGTAAGAGAATACATATTTCCAAACCTCCAGCTCAGTGGTTTTATTAGACAAATGTTTTCTTGGCATTTGTGTATTCAAAAAAGCCTAATATTTATATGAAATGAATGTGGAAATAGAAAGAGTGCAGAGGGTCAGTGGTGCCTTACAGGCATAGACACAGTAGACTGAGCTTGATTAGATGAAATGAGATGTTTGCTGACTGCACGACCTATGATTCCTCTCTTACCATAAGCCATATACAACCCTTCACACATTAACAGTAATGTATTCATTAGTTCATCATTGTGGAATGAAAGACATCTAAATTACTCTTGCCTGCAGTGCACAAACAAGATTTGTGGCCAATCAGATTATTTCCCCATTTGCCATCTTCTGCGTCATTGTTGCAGTGGCAGATACTGTCATCACTTTTAGAAGGCAAAAGATAAAATATTAATTATTATATTTTATTTTATATTATATTATTTTTTTATAACAAAAAGTTAAAAGGGGGGGGGGGGGGGGGGGGGGGGTTGGGGAATTGAATGGGAAAATGTATATTATTTTCATAATTCCTTAGTAGTAAGTCTCCTTGGTTGTAAAACCTCAAATTTCAATCTACAAAAAAAAAAATATATATATATATATATATATATGTTCTAAATCACGTTTTATACATAAACTAAGGATGTTATTGCTTCATAATGCTGCAGAGATTAGAGTAGAGATCTTTCTTTATCTTGAAAAGCATTTTTCTTTATCTTGAAAATCAACTAAAAACCATAAAAATGGTCAGTGCTGGTCCCACTGGTTCCCACTTTTAATTAAGAGCAATTCTACTTTAAAAATAGCATGGCAGACAATAGTAAAAACAAATTTTAAAGTTAATTTTCATATTTTTTTAAAGTGTCGGATGAAAATGCTGGCAAAATTATAGAATGTTCTTCTGATATTCACTCACCAACCTTTGTATTAGGTACGCCTGCTCATTTGCTTGTTAACGCAAATATCTAATCAGCCAATCGCATGGCAATTTAGGCATGGCATGGGCTTAGCTTAGCTGACTTGTTGCCTCGCTGCCCTATCAGACTTTGTTTGCACACGAGGATACCTTACAAAACTGATTTTGGATAGACAGTTCTTTGGGCGAAAATGCCTTGTTGATGACAGAGGTCAGAGGCTGGAATGGTTCAAGCTGATAGAAAGGCAACAGTAACTCAAAAGAACACAAATTCATGATGCAGTCATGTCAATGTGGACCAAAATCTCTGAGGAATGTTTCCAGTACCTTGCCGAATCTAAGCAACATAGCATTAAGGCAGTTCTGAAGGCAAAAGGGAGTCCAACCCTGTATAACAAGGTGTACCTAATAAAGTGGCCGGTGAGGGTATCAGTGAAACCAACCCTCAGGAACAGATGAAATACTTATTGTTGTCTGAATTTCCTTTTGCCTTAGATGTGATGCTAGCATTGCTAAACTGTCATCTGATGTTGTCACTGGAGGGCGGGACATTCTGAAACTCCAACAGGAAGTGAGTGAGTTACGCTCTGTGCTGGAGCTGAAGCTGAGAGGCATGGAGCTCAAGGTGAGACTTTAATGACGAGGCCATTAAAGAGCATGTGATAGCTTAGATTGAATTACCAAAATGTATTCACTCAAAGGCATTCCTTTTAACATCTACATTGTGCAAAACAAAAACAAAACACTGTTTCTAAAGTATCTTTATTACAACATTGAACAGTGTTCCCTGTGTCATTTTCACATACATTTTAATCCTCCTTCAATGGTATTACATAGTACTGTATCACCATGATAAATATTCAAAAAATATATGGTAATACCATCCCACCAAACATGAAACGTTCTCAGATATTTGGCTAACCTTCTAACAAGGTTCTCTCAATGTTGTGAATTTCTTCCAGTTAATAGAACTAATAGAATGTTCATTCAGAGTTTTCTGGTCTTTAATAATGTATTTTTTTTTTCTTTTGAGGGGGATTTCTGTTTTTTAAATGTTACTACTTGTTTCAGAATGTTCAGAAAACTTTCAAAAGTAACATTACCATAATGTTTGCAAAATTATAAAAATGAAATGTTCCCTTAACCTTCACAAAACCAACAACAACAAAAAAGTTTATGTTTTGACATTCAGAGAACATTCAGAAATAACATTAGCATAACATTCTTAGAACATGTTTTTGTCAGCTGGGATGGTTCTTATATTTGGTATGTCTACATTTGTTTTCCTCAACTTACAAGGTATAACTAAATGTTGTGACCAAGCCAGTATGTGCATTAGATATGAAATTACATCAGCTTTGGCCCACACCTCTCTTACACTGGGGGAAATGCTGCGTTGTCATCCATATAAACTGTCCCTGCATGGTGACTGTGTGATAACCGTAAATCTCAGTGACTGCAGTGCATTAGCTCTGGGAAGTGGTCACCAGACACCATAAAGGTAATTGAAAATATAAGGGGACGAGGACAGCCATGTAAAATACACACCAGCTTGCTATGCGTGCTGATGTCAAACATGCCAATACACATTCTTTGTTAACCAATTTACATTTGTTGGAAAACATTTTTTTTTGTTTTTTTGATAGCTGGTTTAGGAATGCTACATTTGGGGATAATCTGCCCAAGGTTATTGATTCAGTTTGGACCATTAGAAGGACAATGAAAACTATGTGAAGTGAGCGTGATGAGAGGTACGCTTTATAATGTCTTGTCATTTGCTAGCTGTCTCATGATGTAGGAAAACTACAGATGTCAATGTCAGAGAAGTTCGTCTCTCAGAGAAACGCCATTGGAGATTTACAGAAGGAGATACAACAACTGGATGTAAAGTAAGAGCAACTATAGTCACTTCTCAATACTCAGTTGAGTTTATTTTAAGAGTTCCTGCTTAAATATAAATTAAAATGATATATTTATATATAAATGATACTATACATAACAATATTGCCTAATTATTAAATAGCTATAATAACATATTTAAAGGATATATATATTACGCTTTTTGTCTTTAGATGAGTCATTGAATCATTCACTCAACCATTGTCAGTAATGCCAAACGCTATTGACAATGAATGCACAGCGTAATACAAAATTCTAATTATTTACATCAAAAACAAGATTACATTGTTTTTGTGTGTCAGTGTTTGGAGATTTGAATTGGCGGAATGTCTGGATGACAGTAGATAAATTCTATATTAAAGCAAGTTTCAAACTAAAATAATAGGCCTACATAGAATATATCCTGGCTGTAAAACATGTCCAAGAGCATTCTGAATTAAACATTGATTAACCTTGTCAATTTTGTAAAATGACAAGGAAACAATTGTTAATTAATTTTTATTTATTGTATACATACTGTGCAAAGATGTTTTTGATTGAAATTAATCATTTTTGAAGTATACTGTAAAGACTGTAAAGATTACATACAGACAGAAAAGATATACTTCAATGGGAATGTTTTTTGTATTCAGTGATAAAAGAAAAAAGATTCAATCAAATAAAAAGAAAAAAAGAGAAGAGAATAAGGCCAAACATCATTGATTCTTGAATGTCTCTTAACCGAATGTGACATGCCAAGTTGGAATATGCTGAAGCATGAATTTTAATTTATTTGTTTTTGCTTGGCAGATATGTTTTTTTAGTGTGGTTTGGGCTGCTGGAGTGCAAAGATTTAATTGATTAAAGAAACAAGTAATCAGACCTGTTGCAGAAATCCATTCGATTTTAGGCCCCTAGTTTCTTTTAATAAAATGTTGTATGTGAAGGGCACTCGTGAAGGTATTGACAGCCCTGACATTAGTTATTGCAATGCTTTACCACCGGCCCACTTTATCGAATCTGCTGTCAGGTGGATTTGTTCTGTTGAGACTGATGTATATAGGGAACTAGTAATGTGCCAGTGACTCACCAGATACGCCTCCAAATAGTGCCAATGCCAGTCTATGTGCTGCCACATGAGCATCCTGGCATGTGCAAGGTGATGCTCTCCATTTCTTTGACAATTTTAGCTCCTGTCTGCAGTGTGTGGAGCACAGATGGCAGCTGAAATGGAGCCTTGCCCATGATGCCCATGGTGTGACAGAATCAAAGCAATTGGCTGCCTATGCCTGGGCTGTTATGTAATAGTGGTGAGTCAAGATAGCTTACAGTGACTCATGAAGAGAAGCATATGGGCCAAAGAAAAATAAACACATTGAGAAAGACGGGAACTATAGCACGAGCCCAAATGTGATGTCTATTAGACACAATGACACAAATACCTTTTTGAAGATATCAAAATGCTATTTAAAAACCACAACAAAAACATCCACCACAACATATCTGTAGGCTATTTGAAATGTATAGGCCATTTAAAGGCCCAGCATTAGCTAAGTAAACACAAACTATTGTTTTGGATAAGACAAATTGTAATCAAAGATACAAAGCAAAGATGCAAAGCTTGAGTCCACTCCAAAATGAGTTATTCTGTATCAGTAATGCACCGTTTCTGAATTCTCTAAAACGCCTTGGCTGTGTCTGAAATCGCCATCTATACCCTTAAATAGGGCACTAATTGAGGGGACAGCCATTTTAGTGCTGTCCTAAACCAAAGTGGACATTATGGAGTGCACTCATTCAATCCCATAATGCACCGGAATAAAAAGTGTACAACCAGGGTGCTTCTCATTTCTTATTTGTGCATCCTCGTTTCCTTTCCTCGCGTCTCTGCTTCGCCCCCAGGATGCGAGGGAAGGCTGCAATTAAAGAAGATGAGGATGGAGGAATAGCTTATTTGTATATTGGAATGTTCTTGATCACTCGAGTGTCACTTCAAAGCGTCATCAGCAGCTCTCAAAGGATCTGCCCTTATGTTGTTCAAGTTTGGTAAAGACATTAATAAATAATAAAAATAAAGCAAGATGCCTTGTTGATATATATGTAATATGGTCTATTTAAACTGCAAAGGTAAAGCATCCATTTAAATTATTGTGACAGATTTGAAGGGTGAGAATTTATACGTGCGTCAGGTTTCTCGACAAGAAAGACTTCATCATAGGATACACCTGTGCATCCCCACTCATTGCTCCTCTGGAAGCTTCCTCACTCCTCGTTCCTCGCCTCCTCGCTGTGCAGTTAGAGAATTGAGATGTTCTTCAAGATGGCTGAATTCAATCAGTTTCCTGGTCACGGGCTGGAGGAACGAGGAAACAAGGAAGCATCAATTTGAGTATTGAGAAGCACCTCCAATGTACATTCAATGGTTAGAGAATACCCTTAATGCACTGTGAGGGTAGTGCTAAATGAATTCCTGCGTCTGGCCAGAAGATAGCGCCTGCAGCTGAATCATTCATCCATCCATTTCCAAAACCCCAATGTGGGTGAAGCACTTGATTGTAGTCTTGAGTTTTCTTCCAGGTACATACATGTCACAGTATTTCTCATTTAAATAATTCCTGCCCAAGGCATACTCAAAAAAGAAAAAGAGGGGGGTAATGCCTGGTTGAGTAGCGTTGTGTTGAAACCGGTGGAAACTCGTGGTTTTGGTAAGGGGTGTGACATTCCGAAACATGTTCAAAGCAATCACAACACAATGATCCATCCGATCAATCAGAGCACATTGTGGTTTTCGGAACGAGGAGCTTCACACAGACAGGAAGTAGCCTAATCAGAGCCTTACTTACAGACTGGGAAGAGAGGTTCTGTAACTATGAAAAATAATGTTTTTTGAATACTAAAGCATGGAAACCTATTCTAGTAGAGCCCAAAAACAAAATCAAGACTTTGTAAAAGTGCATAATATGGCCTCTTTACTACATGATAATCAGAATACCTTTACTACAATGGGAGAATATTGTAAGCATGTATGTGTGTATGTTTATGCAGAACCTCTAGTGGTCTGATGGAGATGGAGGAGCAGACAGTGAGACTGAGGAAGTGGACAGAGGAACAGATGAAAACCACAGTTCAATCACACACACAGAGCAGCCAGATGCACACACTGCTGCAGGACAGAGTGGTAAACATGTGAAACTCAAAATGAATGGCCTTATTATATATATATATATATATATATATATATATATATATATATATATATATATATATACACACTCACCTAAAGGATTATTAGGAACACCATACTAATACTGTGTTTGACCCCCTTTTGCCTTCAGAACTGCCTTAATTCTACGTGGCATTGATTCAACAAGGTGCTGAAAGCATTCTTTAGAAATGTTGGCCCATATTGATAGGATAGCATCTTGCAGTTGATGGAGATTAGTGGGATGCACATCCAGGCCACGAAGCTCCCGTTCCACCACATCCCAAAGATGCTCTATTGGGTTGAGATCTGGTGACTGTGGGGGCCATTTTAGTACAGTGAACTCATTGTCATGTTCAAGAAACCAATTTGAAATGATTCGAGCTTTGTGACATGGAGCATTATCCTGCTGGAAGTAGCCATCAGAGGATGAGTACATGGTGGCCATAAAGGGATGGACATGGTCAGAAACAATGCTCAGGTAGGCCGTGGCATTTAAACGATGCCCAATTGGCACTAAGGGGCCTAAAGTGTGCCAAGAAAACATCCCCCACACCATTACACCACACCACCAGCCTGCACAGTGGTAACAAGGCATGATGGATCCATGTTCTCATTCTGTTTACGCCAAATTCTGACTCTACCATCTGAATGTCTCAACAGAAATCGAGACTCATCAGACCAGGCAACATTTTTTCCAGTCTTCAACTGTCCAATTTTGGAGAGCTCTTGCAAATTGTAGCCTCTTTTTCCTATTTGTAGTGGAGATGAGTGGTACCCGGTGGAGTCTTCTGCTGTTGTAGCCCATCCGCCTCAAGGTTGTGCGTGTTGTGGCTTCACAAATGCTTTGCTGCATACCTCGGTTGTAACGAGTGGTTATTTCAGTCAAAGTTGCTCTTCTATCAGCTTGAATCAGTCGGCCCATTCTCCTCTAACCTCTAGCATCAACAAGGCATTTTCGCCCACAGGACTGCTGCATACTGGATGTTTTTCCCTGTTCACACCATTCTTTGTAAACCCTAGAAATGGTTGTGCGTGAAAATCCCAGTAACTGAGCAGATTGTGAAATACTCAGACCGGCCCGTCTGGCACCAACAACCATGCCACGCTCAAAATTGCTTAAATCACCTTTCTTTCCCATTCTGACATTCAGTTTGGAGTTCAGGAGATTGTCTTGACCAGGACCACACCCCTAAATGCATTGAAGCAACTGCCATGTGATTGGTTGATTTGATAATTGCATTAATGATAAATTGAACAGGTGTTCCTAATAATCCTTTAGGTGAGTGTATATATATACATACTGTACAGTATATATGATATCTGTGCAAAATGTTCTTAGATGGAAGTGGAACGCAGGCTAAAGGAGAAAATGAATCTTCTTTCGGGGCATCTGGAAAGGTTGGAGGTACAACTGGAGAAGGTGCGTTCAGCTCACAGGACCACGCATTCAGAGAGCAAATGCGACAGCATGATCAAGACTTTGGAGAAGAGCTTCAGAGAAGAGCTAGAGCAGATGAGGAGGGAGTACCAGTCAGGTGAGTCTCACATACGAGGATGAAATAAACACACGTCCACAATAAACTCTTTCCACATCAATCTGTATCCTACACTGCTGTTCAAAAGTTAGGAGTCAGTAAGATTTGGTAATGTTTTTGAAAGAAGTCTATTATGAAACAGACAAAAAAAAAAAAATCTGGTCTGCTTAGAAATTCCATATCTCTTGCTATAGGAAAAAAACTGTATTCCAAAACAACGATCAACGACGCACACTTCAGATTCTAATTATTATAATATTATATATTATATTCTGTAACTGGCCAATTCATATAGAACAAAACAAATTTTTTTATAAAAACAGTAATATTGTGAAATATTATTACAATTTAAAATAACCGTTTTCTATTGTATTATATTTTTAAATATAATTTATTCCTGTGATGTCAAAGCTGAATTTTCAGCATCATTACTCCAGTCTTCAGTATCACATGATCCTTCAGGAATAATTCTAATATGCTGATTAGCTCCTTTTGTACTAAAATTGTACTAACCCCAAACTACTAATTAGTGTATATGGAAAGCTAAAGTACAATATAGGCATTTTTACTCCATTTTACTGACATGCAATACCAGCCAAGTGGCCCAATTTATCTCTCCTTTGGCTGTTTGCTTGTGAAATCAAAGTGAAAATAGAAAGCATGACTCAAATTCAGACTGAATCAGTCTTTTGGTATTACTTGTAGCTTAATGTACAGGCAAGTCTGCTGAACTAAGCCTGCAGGGTATATTTGACCCTAGCATTTTTGACATTTAGTCGATCTATATTTCCTTCCAACTACCCAATTTCAAAATGTTACTGATTGACAGACTATGTCGACTATTTCCAGGCATTCTGTACAAAAGACCAAAGTAACCCTCAATAAACAAACCCAGCAAAGAAAAGCCTTAAAAGGTATAGTACATGACTTGCGCTCTCAAATTCTCTTTGAGATTCCAATGATGGACTGAGGGCAGGCGATGCATTATAGATGACACATCTATCACACACTTCTGCCACAGAGTCAATGCTCCCACAAGTGAAGGTGATCTCCTCTATTCCATTTGCCAGGGTTTCAGGCAGTTCATGATGCCATTGCATCTCTGAGACACATCGGTGACACCAAAGCCAAGCTGGACAAAGGAGAGCTGCAAAGAGACATAAAACAGATCCAGAGAAACATGGTGGAACTAAAGGAGCTATGACTAGATTTTTTGTTTTTTTTACATTTATGCTGGAGTATATAATCTGTGTGTGAGATCACGAAGTATGATTCAGCAGAATGTGGGCAGATGGACAATACAATCAAATAAGCTGTACATTTGTTTCCTAGATTGAAAAAAAAGAGGATTTAGCCAGTCTCCATGAGGTAATTTCCAGTAAATCTCTTTAGACCAGACTTTAAATTCAGATTCTGAATGAACAATCATGTTTGATGAAAGTCGAACAAGGTACAATTATGGCAAAGCAGAGATTAGATGCGCAATACCCATGTGGCTCAATACTGAAAGATTAGGAAGATGACCTGTTCTGTGTTTATCTGCACGTCCGCAGGCCAGTATTGATTGTAACGGATGCTGGAATAAACAAACAAGATCTCTTTGTTTTCATTTAAATTTTCCAAGCCACCAATACATGCAAAGCATTAATATACCCAACACAATTAACCATTTTTGTTATTTCTCTCTTCATGTTTATGCTTTCATATTTTAGAGACACAATGGCTTTTTGTAGGTCAGTTCTGCATAGATGGAAATGACAGTGGGGAAAACAGAGGTCCATTTATTCTGCTAGTGCCTCTGTAGGGCAATGATAACTGTAGACAGATGTGCCTAATAATGGCTACAATAAGCAATGGCCGTTTTCAGGCTCCTGCAAAGATGAACCATGATAGAAGTGCTTTTAAGGTACATAATGGCAATAATATTTTAGTCAGCCGAGGCTTGTGGCAATGATAATTATGTAGAACGTCAGTCTCTGGAAGGAAGGCACAGAAAAAATAATGAATCAATGCCATTTTTCAAGTGTCAACACCCATTTGAATGTGATCCAATGAGCATAGGCTAATTCGGTTACACCATAAACAGCTAATTAAAGAGCCATTCATATAGATTAAGTGTCTTTTTAGATTCATTCACACACAATTTAACGTAGCAGTGATATGTATACATAATAAAATGTCCTTGGTGATGTAAAGACTGAGATTTGTAAACACATTGATCAGTGAGTAAACTGCTGAGTGTGTAGGAGATAAAGGAGAACAACTGGCTCGGTTCGATGGCGAAGTAAGTCTCGTGAGGAATCTGAGGATGGTTTACTGTCTCAGCTGGATGGGTAAAGGCGTCTGTGGAAATCCACCAGTCTGCTGTCTCCTGCTGCTGTAGCCTTCAACAACAGGGTCTACAAGACCGAAACACAAAGAAAGATTCAATGCCATTCTTAAACACAAAGCTCTTTCATTCATCTCATTAATTGCATAAGGTGACCGAAGGATACAATTACAATAACTGTTGTAGCAATTACAAATTATAATTTAATAAATGGATAATGAAAAACTATATTAGGTTAAATAGATATTCAAAACTGAATTTTCAACAAGCTTGATTAGATTACAATTGACTCTGACTAAGGAAACACAGCCAGAGTAACTCATTTGTTTTCAAGTAGAGAGAGTGGATGGAACTGCTCACATCAATCAGCTCCAGGTCATCTTTGGCGTGCAGATGACGCAGGAGGTACCAACATGCCACCGACGCTATAGTTTCACAGCTGCCTGAGGCTGAACCATAAACAATCCTCTCCAACAGGCGACGGGTTTCCCTGCGAAAGAGCCAACCATGATCAATTTAAACCTGATCCAATTTAAACTGAATAAAGGAGATAGGTTTCATATTAAAATAGACTACAATGCAATGCCAAGATGAGGCAAACAATGAAATACAAAAGGTGTGGCACAGAACAGGTCAGACTGATCTGACATGTTGATTGAATATAGGGTGACATCACATTTATTGTCCACACAAAAACTCTATGTAAGGCCCTACCTGGAGCCCATTTTTATGGAGAACTGCAGTAAGGCTTGGAAGAGCAAAGCTACTGGTGAGTTGCCCATTTTTAAGACTTCAGCACTGGCTTCCAACACCAGATCCTTCCACTCAGAGACACAGACACCAGCCTGTAGTCAGAAGTACAATTAGATATCTTTACGTACTGTAGTATTTACTTGCACTGTAAAATGTTTTGGTCAATAAACAGACTGAAATAGAACTGGTCATTAAAAACAAGGATTTTAGATGCATTTTAGCTGGCAAAAATTCAGACTAATATATGACCGGAGTTGCGATACGCTGAAGGCTGACACACTTTAATTAAAAGTAATGAAAAGCCGGCCACAAAGTGTCTAATTCATTTTAACAAGCAAAGCTGCAGTCAGCTAAAATGAAGGCATTAAGCTGACAGTTAGAGATGGAGGGGAAGGGGATAGACAAAAAGCCAATGAGAGAGGGAGAGAGTGGAAGCAGAAGGAAAGAGGAAAAATGTGCAAGAAAGATGCCTGAAGGCGCTGCAAGAGGCTTAGCCCAAAATAATAATGTCATTTTTTATTAGCGGTTAGTCACACAGACACATGTAGCTATTTTAAAATGTTACAAGGAAAACAGCAGGAATGTATTGTACAATGCATCCAAATTTATTTATTAAAAAAATACAAATAATCAAATTGAAATACTTTTACTTAGCAGGAGTAAATTGATAAAAAAAGTGTTAAACTGTAACAAAAGCTTTCTATTTGAAATAAATGCTGTTCATTAAATTAAAGAATCCTGAAAAAAGTATCACGGTTTCCACAAAAATATTAAGCAGAACAATTGTTTTCAACACTGATAATAAGAAATTATTCTTGAGCAGAAAATCGGCATATTAGAAATGATATATATTTATATATATATATATACACTGTATATATATATATATATATATATATATATATTAGGGGTGGAACGGTACACAGAAGTCACGGTTCGGTTCATACCTCGGTTCAGACATCACGGTTCGGTACGATTTCGGTACAATGGAGTGAATAGCAAAACAAAAATGCAGAAGGCTATTTTTTAAATAAGTTTTATTAATAAAAGCATAGAACCAGTTTATTTGTAGTGCACTGACAGTAGTTTTATATAATTAGTTTATTAATAAATTATTAAAAAGACGAAAAGTCCTTGAGATATGTTTGGTAATTTTACCTGAATGAATTTAAAATTATTTTGCTATTTCAGATCAATATATTTGTTTTCCTTCCTTTTAATTAACCCTAACTTTATTCTCATCATCTGAATTATAAATAATTGATTTCCGTATAAAACAATACTACCATTAAAAACTTTTTGTTGTAGGTTACAGTTTGACAAGAGTTTAGAGTGTGACAAAGCACAATGTTGTGTTTTATTGCGAGTGTACACAAATATAAGTAAACACTTTGCAGTTTTAATGATGTTCTGTATGAAAAAAATGACGGAGTATGTTTTTATGTTTCTGATGTTCGATCGCCCGTGCCTCTCTCACACACACACACACTGTTCGATCGCGCGATTCGCGCCCGCGCCTCTCTCTCTCGCGCGCGCGCACACACACACACTGTTCGATCGCGCCTCTCTCTCTCTCTCGCGCGCGCACACACACACACACACTCCAGGCAGCATTGCAATCTTGATCGCAGCCTGGTCATTGCTGCGTTCAGTCACACCAAAAGCGAATAGAGCGAAATGTTTTGTACCGTGTATTCTCCGTGCACCGAACCGTGACGCCCGTACCGTTTCGGTTCAATACGAATACATGTACCGTTCCAATATCATTTAAATTTTCAAAATCTGTCTGTTTACTTCCATGTTAATAGGGGGGAAAAAGGTCTCAGTCATTTGGTCTGCACTGTATATTGTAAAAAGTGAAAACTGCATTTCCTCCGACATCCCTGTACAAGATGAATCTGGTACTCACCAAACATGGCGTGAGCGCCAGCAGGGCTAGTCGGAGCAGGCTGCTCGTCTTCCCACCGTGATCACCCAGCTGAGACGCCAGCTGAAGACTCCGTCTATAAGCCACAGAGGCCTGAGCCAGCAGACTCTGAGAGCGGTACACTTCTGCCAACCACTGAGAGACAGTGACATCAAATCAACAACGCTCTAGTGCCACATGTGTAAACCTTGTTAAACCTCCTTCCTTTGCACAGTACACAAACATTTGCCAGTTTCATCGAAATCTCCTGCATGATTTAACCTTCATCCTTCCCTCGCACTTTGTAACATATCTTTCCCTCGGGGGTCAAAATGACCCGAAGCCCTATCTTTTTCTTGTCCAGAAAGCTTTTTTTATTTTTTCATTTTGATAATATTTTTTCTATTTTTTTTAATGCAATGTTTTTGGAGATTTTTTGTTATTTTTTATTTTATTTACCTTTTAATTACTAGATTTGATCAATAAATAAATAGTAATTTAAGCACATTCCTCACATTCTTTCAACTTAAATTCAAAATTTCATGCATAACCCTTTTAATTCAGCTCAAAATATCTTACATTGGGTGTCTTTGCCGACCTCTTGTGGGAAAAAAATAATATAACATGACATTTCATGACTCTTGCCACTAGATAGCATTATAGCTCTATAGAGTCTATATGGAGCAAATGAGCTGTTCCGCTGGGTCCTAAAGTCAGTTCTTCAGTATGCATTCAGATACACATGTACTGTAGTATTATAAAATAGCTTTTTGGTCAAGTTTTAGCATTTTTAGTTTGAATTTTGAGCATTTTTAGGTTTTCTATGTGTACTGAAGCATTCCTCGCATTCCATTCATTCCTAAGGGGGTCAAATTGACCCCCAAGGGAAGGGTTTGTTACTTTTTAAAATTTCAACCACAAAACTCCTCAAATCCATTCAAAAGACAAAAGTCCTAGGGTATTGGACCCCTCTGATGAACACTCAATTTTTTACATAAAAAAAAAAAAATTAGTTTCGTGTCAAAATGACCTGAGGAAAGGATGAGGGTTAAAGTGTGTGAACATTCAGTTCTGACCTCATGGTAACAAAATGCCAATATCTACAAGGAAAGACGTATGTCTACAGTACATACAGCAAGATTCATATTGACTGAAAATCAACCTGACTCCAAGCTCTCTTCAGTGAGATGGTGAGTGTACGTACGTGCCAGGCGGACACAGAAGTGAGGTTGGCCATGACAGCAGCACTGAGCTGATCCAGCACCGCTTGAGGAACACAGTTTCCGGCCTCAGACAGCAGGAGACGCTCACACTGAACCTGCCTCAACATCAGGAAAACCACAGGATGCTCTGGAGATACACTCAGAACCTGAGATGGGAAGAAGGACGTATAAAAACCGGTTAAAGGTGCACAAAGTAATTACATGTTTAAGTTTTACCGGTACGACAGCATTAGCTTCTTTGCTTGCCACCAGCTTTAAAGGGATAGTTCACCCAAAAATGAAAATTCTATCATTATTTACATGTTGTTCCAAACCCGAAAGACTTTCGTTCATCTTCGTAACACAAATGAAGATCTTTTTGATGAAATCTGAGAGCAAGCAACTACCACTTTGACACTTCAAAAAGTTCATAAAGAGATCATAAAACTAATCCATATGAATTGAGCGATTTAGTCCAAATTTTCTGAAGAGACTGGATCGCTTTATATGATGAACTGATTTAATTTAGGCTTTTATTCACATTTAAACATTGATCAGCGAACATAAACAGAAACTGGGCCGAACCTGCTTGACGCACAAGAACAAACCTCATTGGTTCTTGATGCTCAAATGTGCTGCATAACACGAGAATGAACCTCATTGGTTCTTCTCGCACATCAAGCAAGCATGCTTGAGTGTCCGTTTACCACAACTGATGTGTGAGTTGATGAATGTTTATATGTGAATAAAAGTGGTAGTTGCATAGCTGTCAACGGAGGGAGAGAAATCACTCAGATTTCATCAAAAAGATCTTCATTTGTGTTCCAAAGATGAACGAAAGTCTTACAGGTTTGGAACATCACGAGGTTGAGTAATTAATGACAGAATTTTCATTTTTGGGTGAACTAACCCTTTAATGCACTCACAGGCAGCATCTGAAATCACATACTTCTCTACTACATATAGCAGGCAAAAAACAGTATGTGAAAAGAGTAGTATGTTCAAATTCACAGTATTCACTAAACAGAAGGCAAAAAGTTTCTGGATGACCTACTACCTCAGGC